TGTTCACCATATATGCTAAGCAGCGTGGGGAACAAAACCGACCCCTGTAAGATACCATATGGCAGGTTTCCTCAAACTCAGCCCTCCAGATGTTTTTGGCCTACAACTCCCATGATCCCTAGCTAGCAGGACCAGTGGTCAGGAATGATGGGAACTGTAGTCCCAAAACATCTGGAGGGCCGAGTTTGAGGAAGCCTGCCATATGCCAACATTTTTCAACAGTGGGTTGGCCAACGAGTCACAGTTCACTTTCAGGTGGGCCTCACTGCCACAGCCCACCAATGCCTCCTCACTTGTCTGCCTCGTCCCCTGGTCCTGTCATAGTCTTTTGGATGAAGCTATGCCAGTATTACAATTCCCAGCATGCTGAACAAATGTGGCAAAGGATCTGAAATTCAGAGTGAGGGAGGCAGGCACCCCCTGAGGGGAAAGGGCCAGAGGAAGAGTGTGTGGAAAACAAACGAAAGAGAAATAAGAGAGTGTAATTTTAAATATCTGTATAATGGAATAATAATAAAATAAAACTGGGTATAAGGCAGTTTCTATGTTCTTAACATTTGCCACACCCTGCCATAAGCCAATGGCCAAGAAGTCAAACAAGAGTCCTCAGCACCACTTTCTGAAATCAAGCCTTCAGAAAGAACTAGAGTCACCATAAAAAGCCATCCAAAAGGATTTGATGACCAACTCTGCCAAACAATTTAAAAGGATATCATGACTGATGGCACTGGATGCTTATTAGTTAAAAGACTGTGAAGGAAAACTGGTGAACAAATGGAAGAATTAACTGCCAAAAAAAGTGTTTTAGAAGCAAGCCATCTGGCTGTGCAAAGGGATGGGAAATGTTGTTTCTTGCATTTGGTTTTCTTTAAAAAGTAAAGCAAAATTCAAGCTAGTTGTTTCACCTAATTACTTGTTTTGCATGTTACAAAGATTTGTTTTTTCACCTTACTCAGTTACAGCGATTCATATGATTGTTTACAATTTTAAATAGCAGCTAATATAAGAGACGTTATAATTAGATTGGACTAAAAACCCACAGCAGCCTTGAATTTAACATTTTAAGGTTAATTCATTTTAACAAGATTACAAGCAATTACAGGATTCCATCTGCTTCTCTTTCTTCACAGAAGAAAGGACAAATAACCATTTAAAACAGTTCTCCTGCAGGTGCTGTGGATGGAAACTAACTCAACAATACCACTATCTTGCCTGAAATACTGTAGGTAGCTTTCTTTTAAAAATAGTTTTCCTATTAAAATTATAATTTTACAATGATGGGGCTGAATACAATGCTCTATTTGTGCAAATGAAAGGCACTCTCACTAGCACAAATGTATGTACCAATTTACACACACACAAACACAAACTGTAACTCCTGCACTGCACCACATTCCATTCTGAAGAATTCCCCAACTCTCACAGAACTTTTCAGCTTTTCAGTGGATAGAAAAGCACTATTGCCTTCACACCATGCCTTGCAATGGGGTTTTTTGGGACCCAAGCCTATATTTAGTCTAAAGAATATGTTTGGATTGGGAAAAGCAGAAAGCAAACACAAATAAATCAACTCTGAGTGATTTATAAGCTGGAAATTGGAAGGAAGTTGTTAACTATCCAGGGAATTAAAATCTGGAACACAGCCCCAATAAAGCTAAAAGCAAATAACCTCATTTGTTTTCCTAAGCTGAATAGGCTATATGTTTTGTACAGCCAATTTTAACCTCAGGCGTTATGAGACAGCCTCTTAGGGCAAGAATGATTCTCATTCTCATTCACAAAGCCATTTCCGACATTAAATTAGGTCCCAAGTAAAGATATCCATATACTGTGTGAAAGTAATACAGTAAAGGTGACAAGCAATGAAAACTCCTGAAGTGAATAAATGATTAAGATCCAGCTATGCCCATGGGGTACAGCAATTATAGTGGAGGCACCAAATAGGATTGTGAATTCTTTTTTTCCTTGGCGTTAAACGCTGTCACATTTAGAAATGTGAAAATGGGCGGACCTGTGTCAAATTAGTTTTAAACACTGCACATATAACACAGCATTCTCAACTACAATGCTGGGTAAAAAGTCAGCCAACCCAAACGAATGCTGAGCAGCAACTTAAGAGGTAGTTTTGCTTTCCCTGTCATGTACCACATAGCTTGATTACTTGAGCCTTGGGGCTAGTTACCAACTGACTTTGCAAATGAGGTGAAGAAGTCAGACCATAAGCCAGATACTAAAAACACCATGTGACAGCAGCAAAGCCTGATAACCTTAAAGGTAAAGGGACCCCTGACCATTAGGGTCCAGTCGTGACCGACTCTGGGGTTGAGGCGCTCATCTCGCTTTATTGGCCGAAGGAGCTGGCGTACAGCTTCTGGGTCATGTGGCCAGTATGACTAAGCCACTTCTGGCGAACCAGAGCAGCGCACGCAAACGCCGTTTACCTTCCCGCCGGAGTGGTACCTATTTAACTACTTGCACTTTGACATGCTTTCAAACTGCTAGGTTGGCTGGAGCAGGGACTGAGCAACGGAAGCTCACCCCGTTGCAGGGATTCGAACGCCGACCTTTTGATCGGCAAGTCCTAGGCTCTGTGGTTTAACCCACAGCGCCACCCGCGTCCCGAGAAAGTAGAGAAACACTTTTCTCCCTCTCTTATAATGCTAGAGCTTATGGATATCCAATGAAGATGAATGCTGAAAGACTCAGGACAGACAAAATAAAGCACTTCTTCACACAGTCCATAAACTATGGAATTGGCTCCTATAAGAAGTAGTGGTTGCCACCAACTTGGAAGACCTAAAGCAGAGGTGGGGAACATGTCGCTCTTCAAACTTCCATTCCCATCAGCCCCAATGAGCATGGTCAATGGTCAGAGATGATTACAGGAGTTGCAACCCAACAACATCTGGTTGTGCCATAGGTTTCCCAACCTGTCTTAAAGAGAGTCATGTGGCTCTGGCCCACTTGATTACCTCGGAGGGAATATGGCTCTTCATACAGAAAAAAGTTTGCCCAATCCTCATATATAAGGTTAAAAAAACCTGTAAAATACTTAAAATTACAGAGTTACCATCACCACCCCAAAATATCCCACTCAGCATAAACTATATGCTATGCTAGATGTGCAATAATAACAACAACAACAACAACAATACTTGGAACTCATTCTACCAACGTAAGTAATAACTACAACAAATTTAAACTTTTAGTAGATTCTTAATATCTGAAGACAGTTAAGCGGAATAATTCAACAGTAACAATGGTGTACTATTTTCAAAATAAAATGTTCAGCACTATGCTCAACATCCAATTTCTGTTTGGAAATTATATTACACAGTTCTCTCTAAAATGCAGCTCATCAACAGTCACAGCGACAAAATTCAGGAATTTAAAATCAAGAATACTGAAGTAATTGTTATGCAGCAACAGCTAGCATACAAATTGTATGTGCACAAAGGCAAGCCAGTTCTATTATACATTAAACAAACTCACTTACTTTAGGCCTGAAGTTCGTAGTTGGTCCCACATATTCATGTTGCGCTTTTACAGTTCCCCAGGGATGATGTATTTTGAAGCATTCGTTGCAATAACTTGCACTACAATCCATGCAGCTCTTTGTGGATTCTTGCGGTGGAGGTTTACAGAGATCACACATAATGGCTGTAGCTGCCCTTGCTGCCTGCCTATATCGTTCTACAATAGTTTCCAAAGTGAAGTTGCGAAATAGGCCATTGATGCCACGCTCTCCCAGGTCTATGTCATGCCGGCATCCAGGACAAGGGAAGGTAGTTGTCTTAGGAGTCAAGGAATTGCGTTTCCAACCTGTGCAGATGGCAGGAGCTGATTTAGTTGCAATGTTGATAAGGAAAATGATTTGGCAGGTGAATAAACGATAAGCTACTAGATCTTTATTTAGAAATTCCCTTTAATGCATATGCCATCTGGCTGCCATACTTAGTAAGTTTGTAAATAAATTGCACAACTTTGCAAAAGAAAGATAATATGGAAGCTAGAGCAAAATGTTTGATATTTCATCTTTTGACAATCCTTGGACCAACTTGAAAAATGCTGGAGTTGTTTTTTTGTTCAGTAAGAACCTTACTGGAAGAGAGATTATAATTCAAGGGAGAGAGGTCTGGGAATGGCAAGTCTCTGTTCAATTTTTGCTCAGCCTGAATTTCACTTAACATCCTCTGTAACTCACTGTCTCCCACCATAACCCATTACTGTTTTGATGAGTTGATGAATATATTGCTATAGCACATGCTGAGTGCAAGACAGGGCAGGTTGCAAATCTAAACAAAAAATAAACCCAACTGTAAGAACATCGTGAATAGCAAGATGAGGCTAGCTCTTCCAGCATGCTCAGCAGGCTTAAGTTTAAATTCATTCCCAACTGCAAATCTTGGCTGAAGCATAATAAAAACAATTGCAACTACGAAAGAGAAAAGGAACACCGGACACTTACCTTGAAAGTTCTTTCTAGTTATGTTGAACAGGCATCCAATATGCTGGCTGGGTTTAATTCCTCCTATCCTATTCTCCTATTCCTATCACCCTGGAAGGCAGGGAATACGTGACAAACATTTGGGCCAGCCATGTCACCCTAAGCTTCTCCACCAGTTCCATCTCATAGCAAAGCTTGAGACAAAAGTGCCGAGAAGAGTCCAAACCAAAAAAGAAACAAAACCACAATGTGAACCTAGAAAAAACAGGTGGTGCAGAATCCTCGTTCACAGGAGAATACCCAATACAAGCTGGAGATTGAGGGACAATGACCACCAAGATATGTACTGTTTAGTAAAGGCAGTGGGGACTTCCATGGGGCTGCCCAGCAGATTTCTAGGTAGGGATCATTAGTGTAAAATGTCGCCAAAGAGTATGCTGTCCTGCTGGAGGGGACCATGATATGTTGAGGTTTTGGGAGGTGCTGTGAATTGTAAGGCAAAAAGATGCATGTTTTGCACCATCTGGTCAACTGCAGTACTAGATATTTTTCCCCCCAATGACCTTTAGTGGAAAGAGACAAAGAGCAAGTCTGATCGGCTGCATTTGTTCAATAGAAGTTTGTAGGCCCCTCCTAATGCCTAGCTAGTCCCAAATTCTCTCCATTAGGTGAGAGGGTTGCAGGCAAGTTCAGCTCCTGTTCCCTAAGGAAGGCAGAGTTAACCATCAGTGGATCCATTTGAAAGATCTGAAAAATATGCTTAATGTTCTTTGATCAAAAGAACTTCCAGATCTAAGAACTTGCAAGTGGTGGTAACTGCCATTAGAAAAGGAGATCTTTGGGGACAGCAGTCTTAATGGATCATCAGAGCTTCAGAGCTGCCAAGGGAGGTGCTGTGAGAGCCTTGACAATCACATGCAGGTACAAGTTGGAAATCTGTGCACCACCAGAGGGCAGAGGAGAGATGCCTCCTTCATAAAGCGTCATAGGTGTGGATGGGATCCTAAAGCTTTGGAACAGCTGGTATCTACTGGGGGGAGGTAGAAGGTTTAGAACCAACAGGACAATTTTTTCACCTCTAATGACATCCCATTTCCTTTGCTTGTCTGACAAACTAATACGCAAGGTCATCAATCGCTGCCTATTTCATGCACTGAACAAAACATTTATCCATAAGGAAGACGAAGAAGGCTAAAGCCTGTATGTGGGGAAATGATTGCTTGTACATAAGAGCATGAGCAAAGTTCTTATTATTGCAGGGTGATTTTGCAGCACGAGATATTGCTTGGAGCATGATGAGCGCGTGAATACCTCATGCTAGATTACTGATTGGCTAACGTAGGATAGTACTCTCCTTGTCTGTGGGCAGGGGCAAGGTTGCATTTTTGTGATTGTTACTTATCTTGTACCAGGCAGAACAAGCGTTGGGCTGGAGGTAGAGAGGAGGTATTTTTTGCTGTGCACAATAAAGGTTGGCTATTAGGCTCTTTGAATCCAACTTGGCGTGAGACTGATTATTGATGTCGAGCAGGCCCTCGACACCTGTAGTCCATAAATGGCCCTCAGAAGTTTTTGTGGCCCACTGAGGATCTGCTGGGAAAAGGCACGTTTGATACCTACTGTATCTATGAAAGAAAATCTCAGCTGGTGGCTCCACCGTGGCTGAAGTAGGCATCTTTTATCTTTCCTCCATCACTACTCTTAATTTACTTAATATATTCTTTGTAGCCCACGTTCATTGCTTGGCTGAGGGAGCTGTGGAAGAGGAAGGAAAGAGGAGGAGGAGGAACAGAGCAAAAAGAAAAAAAACTATTCCTTTTGAAGAGAAGAACATGGAAGTAGGCTAGGAAAATGAGCAAGCCATGAGACGGTAACCAGAAAAGAGTAAAGATGATAGTTAAGTGCTGAGAGAGAAAGGAGCAGCAAGGAAAATGGGTTCTGGGTCAAGGCAGGGAACCAACTGAGGGGTGAGCTTAGGGTTTCATGGCTGGCCCAAATGCTTGTCATGTGTTCCCTGCCTTCCTAGAATTAATCCACATTACTGGATGTCTTAGTCACCTCAACTGAGAATAGACTTTTATACATGAGTGAGAAATATTCATATGTCGCTTTCATGACTACATTCTGGCTCGGCAATAATAATAGTGACTTGGAACAGAGCCGTCTTCAGTATTAAGCTCTTGACACATGTTCTCTATGCAAAGAGAAAACCCTGACTTTTTCCAACACACATTACAAACATCTAAATTCTATAAGCAGATTTATATAAGTGTCATCAACTTTCACACTTTTCAAACAATTTGTTTCCAAGATCAAGGCTTTCAAAGAATTTGGATTTTTTTGGGGGGGGGGCTAGGAGAATAGAAGAATATAAATTAATATTAAAATTAATGATGTATACTATGAAAATAAATCAGGAAGTTGTCGGACACCAAAAGCCCTGTGGATTCCTATTTTTCATTCTCTATGCTTTTCCCATAGCACTTAAGTTCTATTTTTCTTTTTCCAAACATTTATAAAAATCTCAAGATATATATATAAAAAAAAAACCACTATTTCACATTAAAAATAAATACCAACTCAGCATATATACAAATCCACAATCATAGTCAATAATCAATACAGTTTTGACAATGTATTCTTACCATATAGATGCTATTATATTTTTCAATATCCATATTATATCTATTTTTCATATATTCAATCAACAGGATCCATTCATTTTTAAAATAATTCCTCTTTTGTCTTCCATCACGCAGTCAAACCAACTCGCTGAGTTTATACATTTCTACCAGTTTCCAAAAATTAGCTAGCCATTCTTTAATCGTAAGGGCTCTATTTTCTTAAACCATGAAATTTGGAGTCTTGGGATGTCAAAACTTGGCAGGAAATATTTCTCAGATATAGAGCATTTCTGCATAAGAATCTTTCTCCAAAGCAAGCTGAGGTGCTGAGAAGAGTGCAGATGCTTTGCAATTCTGCTCCTTCTGCATAGGAGCCATCTCTCAAAAACGAGGAGCCATTTCTCAAAAACAAGATACAACTTTATACAAAAATCATGTGATTCAGCCAACTGAAAATGAAAGTGATACTACATTGGGTTCAGGAGACACATTGCTGTTATCATAGGGCTAAAAGTTGACTGCTGCTACCGCTTCTGGGATGCAAGAGTGAATTATGGCAGTGGTTGCGGTGTGCAGTGCAGACTAAGGATGTGCTAGAATCGTGAATTCGAGTGTTTATGTGTTTGATGCAAGACCATTGATCCTGCAAGGAAGCTGGACAAAACTGCATTTAGATTCCATGGGGCTGGGAATTTGATGGGATTGGTTTGTTTAATCGTTTAACTGATTTGGCGTATGGTGGTTGGGAAGTATGAGTTGATTTTTCTTTTGCCTAAATATCATTATTGGACATTATATTTATTTTCAGATGCAATCTATCTGCTGATGTTTAGAAAATACTTTATTTAGCATTTACTATGTTTTACAATATGCACTTTTCTTTGTATTTTGCGGCTGAGTTCTATGCTAAAGACGACACTCTGTTCAGTTAATTGTGTCTTCTATAATGTGTAAATTCTCTGGTATTTTTGGAGTTAGTTTTTTATTTAAGATGTCTTAAATCTAGGTTGCAAACTGCTTAGACGTTACTTTAAATAAAAGTGGTATATAAATTGTAAAAAATAAATAGTAAAAGTAAATAAAATTCAGGATTGGCTTCTGTGACTCTGCAGCAACCCTATATACAGGAAACATACTGTCACCCCTACGCATACACAAAGTGGCTACCTCCAAATTAGTTGGTTGAAGTATGTAGAGTATAAGCCAATATAACTTTTTCCTAGTTCTAAAGCTGTACTTTAAGAACATTAGGCTTTATCTGAGGACTCCTTCGTCCCTGACACAAAAAGAGAAATCTGGATCCAACCCTATAACAGAGAATTGGCCATATGAAATATGTTTTAGTAGAAAGGTACTGCTCAAAACAATATTTTCTATTAGCTGTAGGTACACTTCAGAACTCAAAACCCCCTTTATGTGAATTATCGATGGTAAAGAGGTGAAAGCAGCTCATCCAAGACCGGACTCCAGGGAAAGATGTCTACCCTTAGATTCATAGAAAAATATGCAGTTATAGTGATGAGTGCATTATAATTTGATCACGGAACCCTAAAGCATGCCCGTACACTAAACAAGTTTAATCTCAAAAGCCACATGCCCTACAAAAAAGGCATACATGCAGTATATTAATTGCAGACACTGAATAACTCAAGACCTTTAAAGTAAAAAAAGAATGTAACATGCAACATGCAATTAAAAGCAGCAGTCATATGTTGGTTAGTACAGCAGGCAACTAATATCACTTATATTCAAACTATTGACTATTTAAAATGGCAATTAAGCAGGCAAATGTAAAAAACAGAATCCAATTTAAAAAAATAAATAACTGCGATGCAGTGGTCAAGTTTAAACAAGGCAATCTTAAATGCTTAGCCAGTAGCATGCTTCTGAAGTGCTGGCAGGTGTGAACCCTATAGTTTCAGGCTAAAATATAGTTAGATAACACAGTTATGTGGTCTTTATATCAATTAATTAAAAATAAGGAGAAGCATGATAATGAAGGCATGCTTTTACATACATACTGGTGACACCATGCTGACGATTCGTAAATATAAAAGATCTAAGATGTTCCATCCCTTTTCATGTAGTCTATTTATCTTTGCTTAGACAAAACTTTTTTTACATAGCATTTTACTCTGGTTCACACAGCTGCAAAAGAGCCCATTTAAAATAAACTGGGGGAAAGCACCAGAATTGGCAATCCTCCACTTTTAGTAGCGAAGCCACTGGCTACTTCCTCTGCTTCGTTATTTGCTTTTGAGAACATGATATGATTCAGGTGGTAAAATTTAGTATTAATATGCACTGCTCATGTTATATTTGCCTTATTTGCCTTCAATCATATTTCATATCCAAAAACAGAAGCGTCTGTGACACCTTAAAGGCAAAGTTGGGCGTTTATCCTCAAATCCTTATGCCATAACAAACGGGTATATTTTTCTTTAAGTATCACATGACTTTTGTTGCAGACCAGGACTAGCCAATGTCATGCCCTCCAGGTGCTTTGGACTACAGCTCCCATCAGCCCCAGGCAGCATGGCCAATTAAACCACAGAGCCTAGGACTTGCCAATCAGAAGGTCGGCGGTTCGAATCCCCGTGACGGGGTGAGCTCCCTTTGCTCGGTCCCTGCTCCTGCCAACCTAGCAGTTCGAAAGCACATCAAAGTGCAAGTAGATAAACAGGTACCGCTCCGGCGGGAAAGTAAACGGTGTTTGCGTGCGCTGCTCTGGTTCGCCAGAAGCGGCTTAGTCATGCTGGCCACGTTTCCCTGTTTAGGGAAGCTTTTAATGTTTGATGTATTACAGTATTTTAATATTTTTTTGGAAGCCGCCCAGAGTAGCTGGGGAAGCCCAGCCAGATGGGCAGGGTATAAATAATAAATTATGATGATGATGATGATCTGGAAGCTGTACGCCGGCTCCCTTGGCCAATAAAGTGAGATGAGCGCCGCAACCCCAGAGTCGGTCACGACTGGACCTAATGGTCAGGGGTCCCTTTACCTTTATGCAAATTGTAGTCCAAAACAAGGCTAAACTTTTTTCATATCTGGTTGATGAGAGTTCAGAAACTTCAACTGTTTCAGAACACAGCAGCCCTATTTTTAACTTAGGCATTCCATGTCATATTGGGATCTTGATAGAGTACTTGAAAGACTGTTTTCATCCGTATGTACCTGTCTAAAATTTATGAGTACTTCTACTGTGTTAGATATCCTCAGGTGCACCAACCTTCAAGGGGTTAAGTAAGTAGCAACCAGGGAGGAAGTTTTCAAAGTCATCCCTTCTTGCAGGCAGATTTGGCTGGCAACAAATATTTTATCATTAGGCAACAAGCTAAGACCTTTTTATTTTCCAAAGTTTGAGTGACTACTACTTTTATTGCCTTGCTCTGCTTTATATGATTTTAAATCACTTTTTACAGGGTTTTGTTTTGCCAATTTTGTTATTGTTTTATAATTAATTATGCTGTAAATTGCTTTGGAAATTTGATTAGAAAAGTACTATGTACATATTTTAAACACAGGGGGGAAATATTGCAATAACTGTACTCTGCCCACTTTTTCCTCCATGCAAATATAAATGCAGAATTTGACAAAAAAAAATTTTTTTTGCTGCAAATAGGTCCTTACTACCACCTACTTTAATCTTCTTCCCACATGCAAGGCAGGGGTAGTATTAATAGCTGCAATTCATGGTCTTTTACACATATGCAATGAGTTTCACGTGAGTAACAGAGCCTTCCCGTTCCCACAATAGGTTTGTGTGTGGGTGTGTTTTTTTCTTAAGAAAAAACATTCTCACTGTTTAAAAGTATGATTTCCTACAGCAAAAGCCAGAAGAACTAGAAAAGGGATAATACATCTTTTAATTCAACCTACATTTTTAAATAAGCAATATCACCAGCATAATGAAGAATAAAAAGTAAATTTCCAGGGTGTATTTTGAAACAAAACTATGTTTTAAGGTCAGCTGGATTCAAGTTCATAAATGAATGCTTGCTCTCCTCAGATAAAATATTTCCCTTAAGGATACGCGGGTATTCAGTGACAGTTTAGGAATCAAACTTTGAGAAACCTTTATTTACATTATGGCAATGTTGTTTTCCTTGAAGGTTAATGAATTTTACTAATCGATTTAGCATTGGAACCCTTTTTCAGCTCCATTCATGTCACTCTGGAATGCATTCATCCTCACAAAATGCACTTTAAAAGGAGAATATATATGTATCGGTAAGTCAAATATTTTGTAATCTGTATTTTCAAGCACAACATGGGATATCAGTGAAGTAGAAAGTACCGTATTTTTCCGTGTATAAGATGCCCCCATGTATAAGACGACGCCTGGTTTTTTTAACCCAAAATTAAGAAATTAAGTTGTTTAGCTGGGGGGGGGGGGTCACTTCTGCCAATCGCTTGCCCGCCTGCCTGCCACTGCCAATCGCTTGCCACAGCCACTGCCAATCGCACACCTTGCCGCAGCCGCCAACTGTCTGCCTGCTCACCGCCACCAACAGCCCACCCGCCCACTTGCCACAGCCACATCCAATCGCCAGCAGGCCTTTCCGCAGCCACCAATCACCCGCCCAATCGCAGCTGCCAATCTCCTGCTTGCTGCTACCATTAATCGCACGTCCCCCTCTGCATTCACTATCCGTGCATAAGAGACCCAATTTTTGCCTATTTTTTTTTTTAAGCAAAAAGCATCGTCTTATGCACTGAAAAATACGGTACTTCTGACAGTCTTTAATGGGAAGGGGAGACTGAAGAACAAGCAATTCTCTTGTTTGGAGAAAAACTGTTAGCCTACAGATATGTAACACAGGTGTCAGGCGAGCCTCCTGGGGGGAGAATTCCACAGAGAGCCACAGCAGAAAATGCCTGCTCTTCTGTTGCCACCCTCCAGACCTCTTGTGGAGAAGGTGGAGTTAGTGCAACAAGCTCCCCCTGCACCCTCCCCAAATCTGCTCAGGAGGGTTGGGAGAAGCCCCAGTATAGCATGCTGGCGGAGGACATTGCACTGGGCAAGCGGAAATGGTTCCATTCTTATGGAATGATTTTCTTAGTGCTATGCTGAATTCCACCCTTTAAGTTGGCTTGTGTACACTGAAAATAGTTAAGATTAAGCAGAGTTTGTCCAACAAACAATAATACTATTTCCAGTTTAGCCAGCAATCTAAGTGTGACCTTGCCAATGGGGCTGCAACACTATACCATTTATCCAGCAGTAAACTCCATTAAATTCAATGGGACTTACTCCTCAGTAGAAACAGAGAGAATTGCATTGTGGTTATACTTATTCCTAAAGGATATTCTTTTATTTGTATTGATTCATTTAGATTATGCAATAAGAGCTACCAAGTTGCACTCTTGAATCCAGTTGACCTTCATATCTGTTCCACAAAGATGAGAGTAATGGTTCCTAAACAATATTACCTTTATTCACCCACTAAGCTTGGACTTGACCACTGATGTCTAAGAGAAGTATAGGCAAACATATTTATTACAAGAGCCAAATACTAACTACTGCCATACAAAAGTGAAGCATTTCTACCTCTGCACCCAAGAGACCTCCTCTGTGAGGCTGTAAACAATGAACAGAAAATTGTTTTTAGAAGCTGGTTTACTATGGTATACTTAAAATAATGGGTCAGGTGCCCTTCTTCCCACTGCAGAACAGAAAAATGGATTAGGTTGTAACTGCATGCACACTTACTTGCGTGTAAGTTCCACTGTGTTTGAGGGGACTTACTTCTGAGTAAACAAGGACCAGATCAGGCTGCACAATTGTTAGGAGGCATTGGGGGAAGAGAGCTTGATTTCATCTTATCATGTCTATTAATATCAAGTTGTCAATATCTCTAATTAAAAGGTGAGGGTTTATTTTAATACAGTTCTTGTTTCTTTTAAATTACAGAAGATAACTGTTACATTTTGAAGCATTTATTATTGGTTAATTATAACTGTCTTAGACAATTAATGTAACCTCAAACTTACTTACCATAAGGAGATTATTCATAACTCTATATCCAAACACAAACCCAGAACCAGTTAATTAGCCAATAGTTCATAGCCCTACTTAGGCACTTTATAACAGCAGCAGCACATATAGTTTTATTAAGGAAAAGTTTAACATATGCAAACAGTCATATAAGCCCTTTTGAAAACACAAGGTATTCCTGTTATGGCATCTACCCCAGTAACAATACTAGTAAAATTTAGTTTCCGGTGTGTCAGGACTGCAACTACCAAAAGTACAAGGAAGAACACTACTGCAAGATCCCTGGGAAATCTCCAGTTAAAAGGATCAGATAGCAGGTGATGGAAAAGACCTCTCCCTCAGATCCTGAAGAACTGTTGCAAATCAAAGTAGGCAATACTGTTGTCTAGATAAATGGTAGTTGGACAAATTATCTTACCCAGTACATGTCTAAAACCTATCTGGCAATTTTACTTGGCTTTGTGAACAATTCCAACATCACACAGCAAACCAGATATAGTGGAGCGTAGAAATGAGTGGGAGATTAAAGCCATGATCCTAAACACTCCTTTTTCGAATAACTGGTAAGCAGGGCTTATTTCCAGTAAGATGGATTTAGAGGTGCTATAAAGGGTCTAGAAATTAAATCAGCACAAACACAAAATATATGCTTAGCAAAGTCAATTATAGGGAATGTAAACCCAATTGCAATACTACTAGAAATATACAATGGGCTCTGGTTTATTAGGGCAAATGGGGAACTGCGCCAGTCAGTCTCTACCTGCCTGTCTTCTTACCTACAACCAGTCCTCCTCCTTAGTCACAGCAATGTTCTTGTAAATTTCAGCAGGGAGGAGGATGGGGACAAAATTTGAAATAGTTGGCTCTGCCTGTCATTGGCCTTGGCTTCATTACTTTTTGTCTCTCTGCCTTCTGTTCCTTTGGGAACCAGACACCACTACATGTGTGATCCAGCTCACTTCACTGCAAATCTAATAATAATATTAATACATCTTGACAATAATAAGAACTACCTATAGAACACTAAGGAATGTTACAATTAAAACAAAAAAGATTTGGCTTGTTCCAAATAAATTTTGCAATCCACTAATCACAGCGTTACCTTTACATACCTGATCTATTAACCCTGTCAATTCTATCCAAGCTAGGGGAATGCATTCGGTTGCGAGGGCTACTTTGATTGGAGGTCTCTGAGGCAGCATCATTGAACGAATCTTCAAGCGTAAAGTAGAGAATTTCTTTTACGCATTTGTGGCAGATACTATGTTGACAAGGGAGTATAAGTGGATGGGTAAATAACTCCTTGCATGCTGGGCAGATGAGCTCTCGTTCAATATTCTTAATGGTAACCTGGAAGCAAACAACAAGGAATGAAAAAAATTATAAGCAGCAGCAAGGCAACTACATAAACAAACAAAATACATATACTCATTTCATTTGCTATTTCAACCACAGAGCTTTATTTTTTAAAAAAGGAAGAGCAACTATATTTATTTGAGATTCAGTGTTCAGAAAGACTGCACAGGGTCCTATTGAACTTATGGATAAAAGGTAAAGGTAAGGTAAAGGAACCCCTGACCATTAGGTCCAGTCATGGCCGACTCTGGGGTTGCTGCGCTCATCTCGCTTTATTGGCCGAGGGAAACGCCGTACAGTTTCCGGGTCATGTGGCCAGCATGACTAAGCTGCTTCTGGCAAACCAGAGCAGCGCATGGAAACGCCGTTTACCTTCCTGTCGGAGCGGTACCTATTTATCTACTTGCACTTTGACGTGCTTTAGAACTGCTAGGTTGGCAGGAGCAGGGACCGAGCAACGGGAGCTCACCCCATCGTGGGGATTCGAACCGCCGACCTTCTGATCGGCAAGTCCTGGGCTCTGTGGTTTAACCCACAGCGCCACCCGCATCCCTTGAACTTATGGATATGAGTGCACTAAAATAAATCTTAATGCCACAGACAGGACAAATATCCAAAGGAAAATCTCAGCAATTCCTATGTATTCTGAGGGTTGCACTTTGAGTGATGCCATGGTATGGCAGTAAATATCATAAGAAGTTACTACCAAAATGTTTTTACATATAGGAACAACTTTATATATCAAAGCAGTTGTATAATCAACTACTCTTCAAATATTCCATTTATGCAATTATAGTAAATTATCTCATTAAATTTTATTTCCTTGCAAGGCAAGTTGTATTTGGTAACCAAAGCACTTGAAATAAAACTGCCCCTTAAATAGACACTACTGTGCATGCCGCAGTTTGCTTTGCCTCTCTTCCAAAAGGACTCTGAAGAACAAAAAAGCACATTGTTAGGTAAGAGAGAAGAGATGTTTGTCCCAGTTACAGCTCAGTCAGAATAAGTTATAGCCTGGTTGAATAAATTAGGAGACAGACTCCGCAATGCCCGGCTCTTCGCCTTTGGGGAATAGGGCTTTGCGAACTGTGCTGCCAAAGCACAGTGAGTGATGATCAACCCTCCATTCATTCTCCAGAAACAAAAGCTGCACCTTCCTCTCATCCAAAGAAGAGGGAGAAGAGAGATGGCGCTGAACATTAGTCCTAACACACTGACTGGAGAGAGAGTAGTTTTTAAGCCGGCTGAAAGTGGTCTGATTGAAGTAGCATCGCTTATGCCGCACAGACTCAAATTTCTTTTGTGCTACTATTGTTCTAGCTAAAAAGATTTTTGAAGCATTCCAGAGTCATAGTTGAACACTGATCATTCCAGATCCAACTGCAAGTGGCTACTGAGCTACCATCCATCTATCTAGGTATATAAGATAATTTAATATGGATTCATTAGCCAAAATACTTTCCCACTCTTTGAAGTGTTCTCCCCCCTCTACATTTTCAGTACATCCCAGAAAGGGGGCAGGAGGGGGGAGACAATGCAGCCCGTACAGGACATTCCAAATTAACGTGGATGACAGACATCAGCCCATGGATACTGCATCATCACTGCTATGTTTTCCCCATGCCTGCCACTCACTCTCATGCGGCTGGCCCCAATTATAAAGCTTCCACAGGTGACCCTAACACAAATGCATCTACTTTATTCCGCACACAGAGAAAAGCAGGGATTGTTCACAGCTTCTTAGCATGTGCAGCAAGCACCTTTGGCACGCCCCTCTCCTCTCCAATGCGCACCATTGTCTGATCCCACCCACGCCCAGAAATCCCTTAAGAGATCTGAAGAGACCCCTGGTCTGCCTGCAGCAGCTGACAGCTCCTCCTTGGGACAGAGTCCACCCAGCGGTCAACTGCAGCAAGCATGAGTTTGCACAACGCTCTGGGCGCACGGTACATATAGCGAGAGGTTACACACCCAAGTCCTGCTTATTGTACGTGTCAAAACGAAGAAGAGATGGAGGGGGAGAAGTCACGTCCCAAGTAGGAGAGAATGAATATATATATATATGGCAAAACCAGCAGCTGTAAAGCAAATGCTGAAAGAGGGCAGAGGAGGAGGCTGGGATATCTTTTTGCAGGCAGACCAGGAAGGCTAAGCACTAAAAGGAGAGACAAGGAAGAGATTCGATTGGCAAAATACGACTCCACCTGAGGAGTGGGCTTCTCTTCATGCATCAAGAACAGAGGAGCCAGCTCAACTCTGAGGTGCCTAGGTCCCTCCAGCCCCACCCCAAATAAAATATTTGATGGGAGCACCTTCCCCCCCCCCAGGTTGATGGTCATTATTCCCTTTTAAATAGTATGCGCTGTGTCTTGTGATGGATTATGCAGGTCATACCTTCCCCCCATGTTTTATTCAAGTTGGCACCACTGATCAAGAAGCAAGGCACATGGGTGTAGCTGGGGTTTATGTTGTGGGGTGGGGGGCAGGATTCATATTAGAACCTAAGTATTTTTTATTTATTCACTTGATTTGGGGGGAGAAGGGCAGCTGTCCCTTTGGGGGGGGGCCTTGCCCGTGGCTTTGAGGGAGGCAGCTAGGCAGGTAGCTCAACTACTCCAAAACTGGAGAAGAGCATTTCCTCCTCAGTCCCTGTAAATCTCCCTCACACACGCGCGCACACATACATACGTGCCCCCACCCCGCCCACTCGTCTCCCTCCAAGAACTCCCGCCAGCCCCCCCCCCCGTCCCTCCCTCTCTCTGGGCTACTCACGGCGGATTCCAGCCGGTCCCCTTCCATCCTGGACACGCCACCGCCCCCCGCCGCCTCCGCTGCTCCCGAAGGGTGCCCGGCGCGCGCGTGTGCTTGCTTCTCTCTCTCTCTCTCTCTCTCTGCTCGCTTCGCTGCCTCTCTCGGGACCGGCGAGGTCGGCCCTCCCCGCTTTGGGGAGCGCGCGGCGCGAGGGAGGAAGACAGAGGAGGAGAGAGGGGCGCGCGCGCGAAGCGGCTACGAGGCGCCCAGCAGCTGCCACCCGACTGCTGCCTACCCCCCTGAGGAAACTCCGGCGCTGGCCTGGAGGGTGGGGCGCGAGGGGAGGGGGAGGGGCCTGGCGCGGGAGGGGGCGGGGGGAGCAGGGCGGCGGCGGCGGGGGCAGCCTGGCAACCACGCCCACGACACAATGTGGGAGGGGCGGCACCTGGCACCTTTGTTGGCCACCTCAGCCGGGAGGCGGGTTGCCGGCGGGACTTCACTCCCCGAGAGGGGAAATGAGGCAGGCTGGGCGGGGACGACACGTGTACACGCGTACACACGCAGGAGCCAAATGTGTGGCGGAAAGGGGAAGCGAGCTGCGCCCCGCCCCGTCTGTCCCCTTTCCAAGTGCCAGAATCACGTTCACTCCGGAGAAAAGTGGCTTGTTCGCTCTTTCTTGCTCCCAAATCACCAAACGCACGTGCACACGCGGCTCGTAGCCAAAGCAAGATGCCGGCCAGTCTTGCTTCTCCCCGGCCTTGAGTTGCAACAGGGAGGGCTGCTTCTTCACCTGTTGAGTTGATGCCACGTGCCGCTGGGGTGACTGCAGGGGAGCTGAGCTGGGACACAGAGGGGGCTGGAGCTTTTCAAGCCACATAAACTGCTTTCAGGTTGCTTTGCGATATATAAACGTGATATACATATAAAAGCGATATATAAACGTGAACTGAGCTGCAGCCGCTACTACTACAGTAAAGGGAAGCCCGGAATGGTTTAGGGGCCCAGGAGAGTCCAGCCTCTAGGCTTGGAACTTGCAAGGGGGAGGGTGTTGTAGCGTTTGGGCTTTGGGGAAATCGGCGCAGCCCTGAATGCCCCATGCAAAATGGGTGCTTCTGGGTATGGTGAGCCATCGACTTTGTTTGGCTGGAAAGGACCACAAAGGCTCGGTTGCCTTAAGGGCAATGGGGATTGTTCCCCTTCATTCAAGACAATACATCCCAAGTGGCGGGTTATCTTTACTGTAGTTCCTCTGCAAATGAAGTCAAATTATTTTGGCAAGCCCGTTTTCCAGGCACAAAAGAATGATCATGGAACCATGGAGGCAAAGGTGAAGCTTTTTAAATAACAGTTCGTGCTGTGTCTGCACAAGAGTAATGAGTTGGCTCAAGTGAGTCACACAAACTTAAGGTTGATAAGACTGTATTCTCAACAATGCTTCCCGAAGAATGATCCCTACTGTATCTAGTGACCAGCCTCTAAGTAAACATACATAGTTTTTCAGGGCTACCAACATAAGAGAGCCCAAAAAGAGGAGGATGAGGAGCAAATGGGCTGTACTTGTCTGTTTCTATCACTGTCAGTTCAATTAGATTAATTCTTAAGCTATCATTAACCATTCAGAACAGAGGGAAACAAATTCAGGGAACTCTATCTGAAACTAGGCAGCAGACCTCTCCTTTATCTACATCCAGCAAACTGAATCTCTCCATCAGGAGGAGGAGGAGGAAATACCATCTGTGCTTCCATAGGGTTCAGCTTCTAAAATCACATTGGATAGATTTTTATTTTTTTTTAGACTGAGAGCCATTGTATTTGGCTCACATTTTTGGGAAAGGCTTAATTAAAGCATGTTGAATTAGAGTCTTAACACAAAGCTGACTTGACTACTCATCTTGACCAAGATATTTCTTTATGGAATTCATTGTTTTGATAGCGTTGCATTTTCCTTTGCCAGTTTTCTCTTTTCCTTCAACAACTATTCAGATTGTTCACGCTCCTTGGCAGCGCTGGATCTACAAATTTTGCCTTAAGGAGCAAAGCTCTGCATAGCTGCCCTCCACCGCCTGCCCCTGAAAGAAGCATAGAAGAAGAAGAAGAGAAGAGTTTGGATTTGATATCCCGCCTTTCACTCCCCTTCAGGAGTCTCAAAGCGGCTAACAATCTCCTTTCCCTTCCTCCCCCACAACAAACACTCTGTGAGGTAAGTGGGGCTGAGAGACTTCAGAGAAGTATGACTGGCCCAAGGTCACCCAGCAGCTGCATGTGGAGGAGTGGAGACGCGAACCCAGATTACGAGACTACCACTCTTAACCACTACACCACACTGGCTGGAGATGCAGGCTTTCATAAAAGAGGAAGACAAGAAGCTGCAGCAGCAATGACCAGGGCTGCCAGCAGCAGCAGCAAAGTGGGGTGGGCAAAGGCAGAAACTCTTTCTTGCCTTCATTGTTTTCACAGATCAGAACAGGGCAAGACAGTGGGAATCCTGGCAGGACAGATGCTGGGAGGGACAGGTGTCAGGTTGTGGGACACTTTTCTGACCCAGGTGGTAGAAGGGGCAGCTACCTCGTGCATGGCAGACATTAAAAGCTGCATGCCTGGCATCCTCAGCATGGCAGGGGGCAGCCCACCGCTTTTAAGCACCAGCCACCCTCTCACTTCCCCTTTACATTCCTGCTGCTTCAGCAAGAAAGTGAAGGAGCACTACAGCGTGCGAGAGTGGCACTCCATTGGCCTGCAATACATGCTCAGCGACATTCCAGCTGGGTTCTGCCTATTAGAACAGGATGCTGTTTTTGCTGCCGCCCCCAACCTGCCGCCTGAGGCAAATGCCCCCCCCCTTGCCCCATTCAATCAAGGCCTGCTCCGTGAATTATTTAAGTTTGTAGGGGCACTTGATTCCACCATTGCTTTGCAATTCCCACCCAGACCACAGGACGATGATTTTTTAAAATACATTGTTTAGGGTCACAAGAGATAGCGTAGTTTTTTTTATATTTTCCACACTGCAACAAAGCACTTCAACTTTCTTATTAACATTTTGTCTGTTTGGCAAACCTCCCTGTCCAGCACTGTGTTTGTTTTTTAAAGTTTACATACATATAAAGAGATGAACTAAAAATATTACTGGCTCCAGAGACATGTTCAGTCTCAGAAGAATGAAATTAGTCACCACTGCTTCTAAAAAATGGGGGAGGGGGCTGAAGAGGCTGGGGGGGAAGACTTTCCACATTAGGCCTCAAAGTTTTAATCTTTCATATGCAAAAATGAATTAGTTTATGGCTGATTTCAAGAAAAACAAGCAGCCCATTCCCAAAAAATCTGGTGCATATATAGTCTTACTTGTGAACTTGCACGAAGTTTGAGAATGCTAGATTATTCCAATAGCCAGAGTATTCCAGTGGGATTATTTCATAGTACAGTGGTACCTCGGGTTACATATGCTTCAGGTTGCATACGCTTCAGGTTACAGACTCCGCTAACCCATAAATAGTACCTCAGGTTAAGAACTTTGCTTCAGGATGAGAACATAAATTGTGCTCCAGCGGCGCAGCAGCAGCGGGAGGCCCCATTAGCTAAAGTGGTGCTTCAGGTTAAGAACAGTTTCAGGTTAAGAACGGACCTCCGGAACAAGTTAAGTACTTAACCCGAGGTACCACTGTACATAAGTAGTACCCATAGATACCATATGCCACCTATTAGTTTTTGCTGAGCTACCAATAATATTCAAAGTTAACAGCAACAATTAATTGATATAGAATCATTATTCAGTTGTTAGGGACCATTAAAAACAAGTCTTTCTTAGACTGCAGGGTGGGTGGGTGCACAAAGGCTGCTTGAGACTAACACAACCAGTATCTATCTATTCACTGACCACAAGGCAACAATAGCTGCTTTTGCACAGACACAGGGACAAAGTAGATTCATTATAAAACTGGCAGATTTCTTGGCAGTCCCTCCCAAATTTTGTTATTGTCATGACTCCTTTGTGAAAAACTGCTTGCTCAGTCCTGTCACTAACAGATCAAAGGGATTAACCTGTTGATATGTTTGTTTGTTTGTTTTGGATTTAAGGAGCTCAATTATCTTGCTCTACTACTATGATTAAAACTGCAATGAATTAAAGGTCATTTTACTTTCATAGGTAACAGAAGCATATTTTAAACTGCCTAGGACCAGGGCCATTGTGTAAGTATCTGCTCTTCTTAACTGTTTCAGTGGTAATATAATTTAAATTTCAAAGCTACTTGTAATATAATACCTTGAAAAGTTTGGCAATCCACTATTATCTCAGCAGAAAGACTAAGCACAAACCAAGTAGTTACAAATTCTTTTCTTGTTCTCAGATGCGCCAGATAGTCAATTATCCTGTTTTGCTCCAGGAGAACAAAGCATCTACAAAACTTCCCTAAGAAGAACAAAGGCACCATCCTTGGGTTGCATTTTGATGGAATATTTCTATTGTCTATTGTTTATAGTGTCATATTTGAAACCAATTCAGGGTTTTAATCAGCAGGTTGATCTTCCAGTCCACGCCAGGAGACTTCTGACTGTTATGTAGGGATAAATAACACCACCTTTCAGCACAAGACTCCCAGGAAGATGTAAACAGTAATTTAAAATAGCAGAACAACTACAGTGGTACCTTGGTACTCAAATGGCTTGGCTCCCGAACAAATCAGCTCCCGAATGCAGCAAACCTGGAAGTGAGTGTTCCGATTTGCGAATGTTTTTCGAAAGCCAAACGTTCAATGCGGCTTTCCATGGCTTTCAACTGAGTGCAGGAAGCTCCTGCAGTCAATTGGAAGCTGTGCCTTGGCTTTCGAACCGTTTTGGGAATCGAACGGTCTCCCAGAACGGATTAAGTCTGAGAACCAAGGTACCACTGTACAATAACCCCTCCTCCCAAAATAATACAAAATATCAGAGCAGCAGCTGTAATACCAGTGAGGTCAGTACAATCTCGCAAAAGCTTTAAGAATACAATGAATAGTGCAATCCTACAAATAGAAGCAAGCCCCTCTGAGGTCAATGGGGCTTACTCAGAGGTAAGAATAGATATACAGAATTGCAGGCTAAAGTTCAGCTCCCACCCCCACCCTGGACACACACATCTAATTTCCACTGGGATTCGACAAAGCAATTCTGATTCAGCAAAGGTCCTGGAGACATACACTGATTGTTCTGTTGTAATGATTACATTAAGAGCAGCATTTATATATCTTGGGGGAAGGGAAGGCTGGCGTAAGAAGACACAGGAAACCAGGGCAGAAGATGCACAGACAGCACAATCTGCCCATCTTTACTCAAAAGTCTCAGGGCACTAGCCATTTGAGGGGGAAAGGGATTCTTGCAAAGTTCTTGAAGAGAGCTGTATCTGTAACTTAATTATTTACAGGAACAATAAGCAAAGGTAGTTGTGTTGGTTCATGAGGGAAAAAATCCAAGATCTACTGTCAGGCAATATATTTATTTGGATATTTTATTTTATTATTTTATTTTATTATATATTTGGATATATTATATTGTCACAAAGAGTAAGCAAGAAATTATTTTAAATGCCTTTGATAAATAAACTTTCCATTTTGACATAAGTCTGAAGGGGGGAAATCTCTATCTTGCGTCTCTGACTTTCACTCAGGAAGAGATTCTGCATTCATATATTCAGCTGGATTTTGAAATATTAATCTAAATGTCATCAGAGAATTGGGAGTAAACATCATTTCTATTTGTAGCCAGTTTACTATGCTCTTTTGTTTATTACCCTTGTTTGCCAAATTGAGTACACAGGTATTTTAGAATACATCACATTTCTCTAATATGAAGTTGCAGAAATAATTTGGAATCAACATTTCACAATACGTCCGCTAAAAATATTTAAATTGATTGCATAATACTGGGGAAGCTGTTATAGCCCAGAAGCCTTAACCAAGCTTCCTGTATTTAAAACAACTTTTTTTCAGCTCCTCTGCTACTGTTGTTTCTGGTTCCTACTGGATAGAGTTAGGCTTGTGCTTAACACATGCCCTAAATAAAATATTTTGTCAAGAGTTTTACTTCCTGAATCATAACCCCATAAGCCCATGCCCAGTCTCGATATGGAAAACTTAGAAGCAGCTTCTCTCTCCGGCAGAAGTGGACAGAATTTTCTTGTGGGTGTAAAATCTTAGTTACCAAATAATAATAATAATAATAATAATAATAATAATAATAATAAATGAAATAGGTTGCATTTTTGCTGGTAACATTATACAAAACTTTTCTTTTCCTCTCTATGCTGCAAGGTTAAACACTCTATCCTGAAGTGCACCGGAATATGAGCTGTCATTCCACAAGACCGTGCATATCATATGGTGTGCATTTAAACTCCTGCTGCAACACAAAGAGTAGCATTCATTTTAAACAACATTCCAGACAAGCAAACTTTTTCCCCCTGCAAGTATACTTTATGAATAAGCTGAGGAAGTGGTTTCTCCCTTAGCCCTCTTAGCCACAATTCACACTGAAGACTAACATCAAAAAACTAAGGCTTCAAAGCAGCTGCCGATCAGAGACATGTTCTCTCCAACATGAAGCAGCTTGTCTTTTATTTTGGGTCTTAGTTTCTCTACAGCAGAGTTCCCCAAACTTGGGTATCCAGCTGTTTTTGGACTCCCAACTCCCATCATCCCTAGCTAGCAGGACCAGTGGTCTGGGACAATGGGCTTACAGTCCAAAAACAGCTGAAGACCCAAGTTTGGGGAACCCTGCTCTACAGAGTACCACCATCTACTACAATCCCTTGATCCCAAAGCCTAGCCTTTTAGAGAATGGACAGACAATTCAGAGCGGCACAGAGATACGACAAGATATATAGAGCCAGATAGTAACAGCGCGCACAAATATCAAAGAAATTAACGTCAGCAATATCATTATGCTACCTTGAAATGAAATCACTTTGGTTATTTTAGCTGAGAGCTTCATTCCCATTTAGTTACAGTCTCTCCTACTGCCTTGCTGCCTCTTTTACATGAATTTGTGCAGTTGAGGCATGTTTAATTTGGCAATTTAAGAGGATGTTCAAAGGACTCCCCACACACACACCAAACTTCATTTTAAAAAATGTAATTACTAAAGGAGCAATTACCAAACAATTACCAATGGACTTTGTTCATTAAAGTGGGCAGGGGGAAGTGCTTCAACCGCTTTCTAGACAGGGATGCAGTGCTGCCATTTTTCACATTCTCACCAGCAGTGGCGTAGGGTGACAGGGCCAGAGGAACCAGCTTGTGGGGGCAATTGGGGGGGGGAGCTGACCTCACAATGTCCTTATTCTATGTGCATAAGCATCACATCCCCTCCCTAAGCTGGGCACAAGTTTCCCAGGCTTTGGGAAGGAGGCACCAAGCTTTAATACTTTAATTTACCAGGAACATTTAGGGGACTAGCCTAGCCCCCTTAGTCCACTGACCACACGCCACTGCACCAAGGCTAATCCAATCGCTAGGACACCTACGCTTTACTAGAGTCAGCAGAACTAGTGTAGAAGAGGGCACAGAATGCCCTCATAGGACAAACATGCCCTTTGGGAATGATGGAGAGCTCCAATGGAGGTGGATGAGCCTCAACAAGAAATGTTTAGTCCAAGGGTGGGCCTGGAGATGTTCCATCAACCCCACCAGTACAGTGGTACCTCAGATTACAGAAGCTTCAGGTTACAGACTCCACTAACCCAGAAATAGTACCTCAGGTTAAGAACAGAAATTGTTAAGAACAGAAATAGTACCTCGGGATGAGAACAGAAATTGTGCTCCAGCGACGTGGCGGCAGCAGGAGACCCCATTAGCTAAAGTGGTACCTCAGGTTAAGAACGGACCTCCAGAACGAATTAAATTCTTAACCCGAGGTACCACTGTATAGCCAATGGTCAGGGTTGAAAATGAGTTAATAGGGATAATAGGCCACAGGTTGAGCCCCTTCGCTGGCCAAGCAATAGGAGCAAGAACAGAGTCAGGGGCAGTGATGCAGCAGCTAAGCATTGAAAGCAACTTCAGTTCCCCCAGGTTTTATAGGCTGCTGGTTGCACACTTTGTGAAGCAGCGAAGAGAGAAAACCCAAGTTACTATAACAAGTGATATCACACTAAGAGGAGTTTGGTTTTCAGAGTGTGAAGAAGATGCAAACGCCCTCAGTTTCCCCCCTGAGCTCCATTTACAAATCATTTCCTGAAAGATGACAACTTTTCCCGAGCATATTCCCTATCTGTTGCCACAGAATGAGAAATTATTTTTAGGAGTGTCACTTAGCAACATGGGACTATTGCTTATGCATACACTGATCCTCATAATAGCCCTAATTAACTTCCATTGGGAGTGGTAAGCGTTAACAAAACTTATACACAACTCCTCCACAGGCTAAGACCAATTTGTAGGCATGAAAATAACAGAAAATTTAGCCACAGCGTTTCTGCTGCGCCTAACGCACCCTTTTTACCTCATAAAGATTCTGTGGAAATCAAGTTGTGTTCAGGGAAGCATTAGGATTGATAGGTTTTCGAGCAGAGTCATCTTTATCAACAGAAACTTTGTAAACGTAATCTTGCTCAATAAACGGTGTTGTCTCAAGGGGGCTTCACAAATTGTGCTATGGGTCATCAACATGCTATGTATGTGTCCCTTCCAAGCACCGAGGGTTACATCCTGCCCTCCTGCTGAAATTACACTTGAAAGAAGCCTTCCGTAGCATACAGAAGACTTTTCTTCAAGCCTCATTGTGGCACAGAAGGTAATTTGGGGTGGGTGGGTGTTACAGTTGGGATGCGGGAGAGCTATATCATGCTTGTTGTGCCCATGGCAACCCCTCTGGTTTACAAATATCAGCGCAACTGAGAAATTTCTGAAACAACAATGGGATATTAGCTCTGCCCAAGGCATGGTGGAGAACAGCAACAACCAGGAAAAGATAGACATAACATTTTACAAGGACAGGAAGAAATATCACGGACAGAATAACTGCCACACACAGGAAGAACAATGATATAATAATAATAATAATAATAATTTATTATTTATACCCCGCCCATCTGGCTGGGCCTCCCCAGCCACTCTGGGCGGCTTCCATAAAAACCAAAAATACAATAAAATTACACGTTAAAAACTTCCCTGAACAGGGCTGCCTTAAGATGTCTTCTGAATGTCAGGTAGTTGTTTATCGCTTTGACATCTGCTGGAAGGGCGTTCCACAGGGCGGGCGCCACTACCGAAAAGGCCCTCTGCCTGGTTCCCTGTAGCTTTGCTTCTCGCAATGAGGGAACTGCCAGAAGGCCCTCGGCGCTGGACCTCAGCGTCCGGGCAGAATGATGGGGGTGGAGACGCTCCTTCAGGTATACTGGACCGACGCCGTTTAGGGCTTTAAAGGTCAGCACCAACACTTTGAATTGTGCTCGGAAACGTACTGGGAGCCAATGTAGGTCTTTCAAGACCGGTGTTATATGGTCTCGGCGGCCGCCCCCAGTCACCAGTCTAGCTGCCGCATTCTGGATTAGTTGTAGTTTCCGAGTCACCTTCAAAGGTAGCCCCACGTAGAGTGCATTGCAGTAGTCCAAGCGGGAGATAACCAGAGCATGCACCACTCTGGCGAGACAGTCCGCAGGCAGATAGGGTCTCAGCCTACGTACCAGATGGAGCTGGTAAACAGCTGCCCTGGACACA